TGTTGGTGTCAGGTTTCCTGCTTATTGGCCTTGGAGGCTTCCTGGCTTACCAGAAAATTAATGAGCTGTCGAGGAATATTGGCCTGCTCCCGGAGCTCAGAGATGGATTGCACCACGCTGTGAATTCACAGACTCACATAATTGTCTAGATGAATCGTAAGCTTGGAACTTTGGCCGAGATTCATTCATTGGCACAAAAGATGGATGCCATCAAGGATAGTGGACGAATCAGCACGGATTGGGATAGATTAATGTCCATTATTGGGATTTTGAGAGGTTGAGGACCAAGGAACTCTAAGACAGAGAGGAAATTATCTCTGTCTGGACCCAAAACAATTTCTAATCTGAATCTGGTGAAATTGAGCCTGCTAGGCTCCAACGAAGACTCCCTCCTCAGAAGAAATGTGGAATGTGCCGTCGCTATGGCAACTCTGTGTCCTATCCCAACCTGGGCGGGGAGGCCACCGAATCGTTCCAGGGTCACTGCACACTCCAACCTTCAATGCTCCTCCCCCTGTCCAGACTGAGGTGACTTGCGCTGTTTGTAGTGGCTGCAGGAACTGAAGTGTGGATAGTCCAAAACCCACCACCCCACCTAGTGGACACTTATGTTGTGTGATGTCTGAAGTCTGTGTCATATCTGTCTGAGGTGTTTTTTTGCAGAGCAAAGCTGCCCTCCCGGTGGAGGGTAACTCTGAAGTGCCTTTTTTTCCCTCCACCTGAACCAATCCTCATGTAACCCTCTGATCTCTATTAAGGTAGCACGACTCAGGGTTGCAAATGACCACAGTCACCAATTCTTGTCTTGTGTCTTGCCCATGTATGTCTGATCTCTGAATTGTGTGTACTGAAACTCTAATTTCCTTCTGGGATTAATAAAGTATCTTTGAATTGAACTGAATTGAACTGTGAGAAAAAAAACAAATCTCTGGCGCTGCTTTTTTAGGAACTAGAAGTGAGTAAGATGAGAGGTGAGCTGAAGATCTGGAGACTTATTTCCTGATAATCTCTCCTCTGACTGGTCAACAGCAACTCTACCACTGCCTCTGTTTGCTCTGCAGCATTTTATTTCCACGAATAACACAAGCCTAAAGGAGTTCTACCGTGTGGTGGAGTTACTAATGCTAACTGTTAGCTTCTACTTGCTTACGCCATTTTTACAAAACAATGCCATCAATTTGCAGCAACTCCGTGGCGATGTCAGGGAGCCTTAAGCCGGGCGTACACTGTGCGACTTTTTCACTTTTTTGAGCCGATTATCCACTCGTGCAAGAATCCACAATATCGGGGCGAGTTTTGCGCTTGGCGTCGTGTAGTGTACAGGGGGTTACGAGAGGCGATTAACACCACGTGACCAGCTACCAATCAGCAATCGTGAGCTTGCACGGACTTCTGGAGTGTTTGATATTTTGCTCATCCCTCGTGAGGGTTGAAGCAGCGCAGCGAGCGGCTGCTACCCAAAAAGTACCAGAACCGCTCCTGGCGCATGCGCAATCCTGCATCAACACCGCTCAACCGCTATTTCCCTAATAACACGTTGTTCATTTTTATTTCTAAGAGTTTTATTTTTTACTCACAATGATTGACAAGAAAGCGCATTTGTTGTGTTCTTGTCAAATTAAACTGATCACAAAACACATATTTACTTTCTTTATTTAGTTTTCCTCATCCAACCCCATAAATCCCTGTGTGTCCTCCTGCAGCACTCCCGAAGGACAACAGGCAAAACAAGACAAAAAAGTCTGACGTGCTGTGTACAAACTGCTATTTTTAGCATATTTTTTAGGTCCAACGTGTTGCTACCAGACGTACAGTGTGAGCAGTCAGGTCGCATCCGAGAACTGGGTCGTGCAGTGTGAGCGCATGACTCGTGAGATCTGCCCTGCGAGGAAGTCATACAGTTTGAGCTGAAGCTGAGTGCTACGAGCGAAAAAGTCACACCGTGTCCGCCCAGCTTTAGGTTGTTTATAAGTGGTCAGACTATGGCGGTAATGTGGCGCAATCATGTTCTTTTTATAAAGGATTAGACGATGGCGGTATAAAGGGGGTACGGGAGTGGTCTCTGTGCTGCCGGGACTTTTGTTTATCTTGGACATGAGTTGTTTTTTATTGCGATTGAAACCGCGATTGTTAAGTTTTTACAAGCCGCTCCAAAAGGTGTCTGTCCCTCACAGTCCCCAAGCAGTCTGGTTTTCTGAGCTTCAGCTATAACGGAGACAACCTCCTGGAGCACTGTAGCTGATTTTGTTAAAAAAGCTAAACCTATGGCCCGTGTTTACTTTCAGTTTTTAATGTAGCCGGCCGGAGCTCGGCACTACCTCCCTACCCCATCATGACAGCTTCCTCTGTTGTGCCAAGGCCTCAATTACCGTTTATAAGACAGAAAATTACTGCAATATTACTACCAAGCAAGGCAGAACAAATGCCGCAAAGTTCACGCAACACCATGCTAGCATAGAACGCTTATATGATGCACCGTTGCAGTAAAATTAAGCCAATTTGCTGGCATGGTGTGTAAAAAAAAAGGGCTTTAGACACTCTCTGCTCTCTCCTGGATGCTAAACCAACAACTGCCTTCCTTTCAGGTGCTAAGATAGGTGAGTCCATAAATACTAATTTATAGTATGACATGGTATATAATCAATTTCCCTCTGGGATTAATAAAGTATTTTTGAATTTGAATTGAATTTGAATTGACAGTCATACAGCGTCCTTGTCTATTTTCTGTCAATGGCTAATGCAAGAAATAGAAAGATCATATCTCAAAAACATCAAGTTAAAAATGGTTTTCCAGTGAACTTGCTCTTTAAAGAACCAACAGTGTTCTACTCATTAGACAAAACTAATAGGTACCTTTTGCTAATTAAAATTATCACTGGTTTGCTTATAGACACATAAACACATCACATAAATCAAATGATAAACAATGATATCAACCTACTGTAATCTACCTAATCCTACTGGCTCCATTTGTTCCCACAAAAAGAGCTAGGAGAAGTTGAGCTGAAAAAAGCAGAGGCACAGTTGAGATAATGTCCGTTTGAACTGTTTATTATCAACAGTTAGTCAAATACAAAGAAATAGTAGGAAAAGACAGAAGTTCAATTCTTTTTACAAGATTTTAGTTTTCTAAACCACATTCACTCCCTCAGTCTTTCCATTCTCTCTCTCTTTCTGTGTGTGTGTGTGTGTGTGTGTGTGTGTGTGTGTGTGTGTGTGTGTGTGTGTGTGTGTGTGTGTAACAACTTGCTTAAAAAACAGAAATTAAGCTTCATTGATAAATTAAAAAATAATTACTAAGCACTTTATTTACAACTCATGCCCTGAGAAAAATAAATTAAACATTCAATTACAACAAATTACAGCGAACAATAAAATGCTTTTAAAATGACTTTAATACAAACAGACTCAGTCTGACTGAACTGATCCTGGAACAGTGTCACTGCAGAATGTTACTGCTGAGTGATTTCCTAGCCGTTAGCTTTGGCTATAGCCTTTAACTCCAGATAGCTTTAGCTGGGCCTGGCCGTTAGCTTTGGCTAGCCTTCAACTCCAGATAGCTTTAGCTGGGCCTGACCGTTAGCTTTGGCTAGCCTTCAACTCCAGATAGCTTTAGCAGGGCCTAGCTGTTAGCTCTGATCCTTCTAAACCTTTGTACAGAAGCAAACATCAGAAAACATAAAATGTTCGTGACCACCAGGAACAGGAAGTGTTGTTTAACAGGTTTAAACCAAATTACAGGTTTTACATTTTCTGAGAGTGAAAACCTATTTAAACCAAACTAAGCCAATTTTTTTTTTCTTTTACAGAGGAGTTTCAGAAAGGAACAAAATAAATGATCAATATGTGATAAAGCCAACTTCAAATAAAGCCTTTTGTAGACATAGTGTTTGAGGTTTGTACCTCAAACAATACAAACATGAGGAATGGACCACTCACCCTAATATTCCCAGAGACATTATAAACTGGGTTGTGGCTCAGGACATCACATGGTTTCCTTTTATAGCAGAATATTCATGTGGAGTTTCCGTAGTTAAAGCTGCAAAGACAAATCTGTAAAACCAGCTAGCTTTAAAACACAAACACGATCATGGAATTCTCACCCCTCCCGTTGGCTACCATCCCTATAGGCCACATCCGCATAATACCAGAACCTGCGTTGCCATAGAAATTAAATTGCGCTAAACACCAGTTGCCGTTTTCTAGGCCTGAACATCTTTTCTTTGTCCATGACTTCAAAAGGTGTTTTTCTTTTTGAGACTCTGGTAGTTTGTCCTAAAGTTGAAGTGGTAGCAGCCGTCTGTTTCTTCTTCTCTGATATTATTGAGCGGAGAACCTCACACACCAGTGGTGTTTTGTATTCTAAATACATGAGTGTGTAATGAATGGCGAACCGAGAGAAGTGTAATGGCTCAGTTAGACTGACAACTAGATTGTCCAATCATTAGTTTTGGACCGTGTCATGTTATTGTCGGAGGTTTGTAGCCAAATGCAAGAGAACCACTTTATAATACTTTATTTTCTACAGTATATTTATAGCTGTACTATGTTAGAACTCTGTTAAGAAGCATGAAAAAAATGTTTAAAGCTAGCTTGTTTTGCAGATTTGCTATTGTACCTTTATAATGACAGTGTGCATTTTCCCTGGCGGTAGGGGGCGGTACATACCTAAATCATTCCAAGATAGCGGCATTTTTGTGTATGAGTAAGACCTTACCAACGGATGACCATTAGGCATGGACGTAATTTTGGGGGGGGACAGGGGGGACATGTCCCCCCCACTTTTTCCAAAGTCAAGTTTTGACCCCTGCACTTTTTACCATCCAAAAGCAATATTACGCTATATTAAATTGACACTGGTTGAGCTCTAGGACCTAGCGGAAAGCAACCGTTTATGTTGAAGCCTGTTTCCCATTAGAACATATTGTAAAGATACCCCCCCCCCCCCCCCCCCCGTGTCCCCCCCACTTCTAAAGTGAAAATTACGTCCTTGCCATTAGGGTCAAAAAGCTCATGGGGGTGCAACCTCCAGCGAAATGATAAGCACATCAGACTCCCTTCCATCATTGGCAGAAAGTGAACAGGTAGATGTGCAAAACCACAATGTTTATGAATGGCAAGGGTTTTAAAAAATTATAAATCAGTAAATACATTTTGCCCTCACAGGCTCCCATAGAAGGAAACGTGCTGTCTAATTTGTCGTTTTCCAGAGACATAGGCCCGTGCTTATGTATGTTAGACCTGATTTTTATGATTATATGCTACAAAGCCACCAATACTTTTCACCAACTGGGCATCATTTAATTCTTTTTCATCAACATTTTGATGGATATTTCCAGAGATTAACAGTAAAAATGACATGTTGTCTCTAGGGTGAGAAGATGAGTTTGAAGTCTCAAAGTAAAAAAAGCAAATCAAGTCACAGTTAAAAGATCATCGGAGATGAAGTTGATTTCTGTATGCGAGTCTGTGCAGAAAATGCTGAAGAATCAAAGTTAAAACCACAAAAACTATTTACAAGGAGTTCAGTCTGGAGCATAGAAGAGTTAATAGAAAAACATATCAAACATCGTTAGGTGGTTAGCAAAAAAGTATAATCTTTACATTTGTGGCACAAAAGTGTAGATCGTCTTGTATGGAGAGGCAGTTTCATATGGCAGAGCGAACGTACATATCATGCTGCACTAATATAGTGCAAAAACCTGCCTGTAAATAGAGGAGGAGAGGCAGTAACTCCAGAACTCAGCAGGCTCTCGTTTCTGTGCTGTTCTCCCACGTCGCATCCAGATTGTAACGATGTAGAGACTAAGAGCAACACGTGAGGAAACACCACGCAACTAATGATGAAGGTTTGTGCTTCTCCAGCCGATTCTCTCTCTCTCTCTCTCATGGTTTGTGTGCTGCCAAAGGCACACTCCCAGAGGGAGGTGGAGTTAGTGAAGGCTTCAGAAAAAAAGTAAAAACAGGAAGATTATAAAAAAGAGGACGGGAACATCAAGGCTGAGCCAAGCACCACCGGCCCTGACGTTAAAGAGAGCCACCCTGTGTCCCGATCTGTTCTGTACAGGAAGTCAGCTGGAAGACGTCTACATGTCGGCGTCGCCGTCGTACGCCAGGGTCAGAGGTTTCAGTCGGTTGTTCATCTGCCGACGCTGTGGCTTCTTTGGCTTTTTGCTGCAAAAGAAATCAACAGCTTTAACCTTTAAATCTGGCTGAAGGGAGCATTCACTAGTATGTTGTGGTCCATTATTATCCGCCCTATAGATTGCTCTTTGACTGGCTTCAGGACCTGGCCCTGTGTTAGTGATTGTTAGCTTGGACACTATTAGCACTTATAGCTAGAATTATTTAACACATTAGCCAGAAATACAGGAAATGTAACTTTCCAATCAGTTAAAGCATTAGCATTAGCATGAACCTGATAGCATTTTATTTTAGGCTCTTTGGGACTAGCGATTAGCTTGTTGGTTCAAATCAGAACAAGTTACAGTTTCTCCAAACTGAAGCTGTTCAGAGAGGGTTCTACCTGCTAATGCTTCAGTTGTTCAACTTTAAATTACTATTATTATTATTATTATTACTGTTATTGTTATTATATTGTTATTATTATTATTTATTATTATTATTATTATTATTATTATTATTATTATTATTATTATTATTATTATTATTATTATTGACAATCATAGCTCACATGGTCATCAGGGCCCTGAGAAGAATTAAACCCAAGTAGAGCAGCAGGCCTTGACCAGATGAAAGGCAATTTGCTCAACACGGATATGTTTAACACCTTGTGTGTCAGGCCATGGTGCCAAAGAGCTACAAACCTCTGCAACCATTCCAATGCCCAAGATACCCACAGTCACCTCAATAACCTTTGACCTGTAGCAATCATGCCATTAAAATTAAGCGCTTTGAGAGAGTGGTCAAATGAGAGACCACCACCCCGGTCTGCCACTCCACAGGAACTGCCCCCGATGACCACGCAATGTTGCAGAGACGTGTCAACCATGACAGCCCTACAACATCCATAGCCTTGAGATACCCAAGATGAATCTCCTCCGCCCCCGGGGCTCCTCCGCTGTGTAGTTGTTTGACTACCTCAGCAACCTCTGCCCCCGAGATTGGACAGTCCATCCCCAGGTCTCCCGGCTCTGGCTCCTCCTCGGAATGTGCATAGGTGGGATTGAGGAGTTCCTCAAAGTATTCCTTCCACCGTCCGACCATAGCCCCAGTTGTCGTCAACAGCTCCCCATCCCCACTGTAAATAGTGTGAGCGAGTTGCTGCCTTCCTCTCCTGAGGCGCCTGACAGTTTGCCAGAACCTCTTTGGAGCCAATTGATAGTATTTCTCCATGGCCTCACCAAACTCCTCCCACGCCCGAGATTTTGCCTCGGCAACTGCCACTGCTGCACCCCGCTTGGCTATCCGGTACCTGTCTGCTGCCTCCAGAGACCCACAGACCAGCCACACTCTGTAGGCCTCCTTCTTCAGCCTGACGGCTCCCCGAACCTCTGGTGTCCACCAGCGGGTACGGGGGTTGCCACCACAACTGGCACCGGCCACCTTGCGACCACAGCTAGCAACAGCCACCTCAACAATCGCAGAGTGGAACAAGGCCCACTTGGAGTCAACGTCCCCCACTGCTCTCGGGACGTAGTCAAAGCTCTGCCAGAGGTGGGAGTTGAAGACCATCTTGACAGGTTCTTCTGCCAGGCGTTCCCAGCAGACCCTCACTATACGTTTGGGTCTGCCAGGTCTACGTGGTAACTTCCCCTGCCATCTGATCCAACTCACCACCAGGTGGTGATCAGTTGACAGCTCCGCTCCTCTCTTCACTCGGGTGTCCAAAACATACGGCCGCAGGTCAGATGATACGACTACAAAGTCTATCATCGACTTGCGACCTAGGCTGCCCTGGTACCAAGTGTACTGATGGGCATCCTTATGTTCGAACATGGCGTTCATTATGGCCAAACTGCGGCTTGCACAGAAGTCCAATAACGAAACACCACTCGAGTTCAGATCAGGCGGGCCGTTCCTCCCAATCACACCCCTCCAGGTCATACTGTCATTGCCCACGTGAGCATTGAAGTCTCCCAGCAGGACAATGGAGTTCCCTGATGGAGCACTATCTAGCACTCGTCCCAGGGACTCCAAATAGGGTGGGTACTCTGAACTGATATTTGGCGCATAAGCACAAACAACAGTCAGGACCCATTCCCCGACCCGAAGGCGCAGGGAAGCTACCCTCTCGTCCCCCGGGGTAAACTCCAACACACACGCAGAGAGTCTTGGGGCTAACAAAAAGCCAACCCCAGCCCTCCGCCTCTCCTCATGATTAGATTTGTGACACTTCACCTGAGCTTGGAGAATTTAATTCTCAGACTTCAGCTGGTCGACGACGTTTTGGCTGTTTGTAAATGCCGCTAACTCATCCATTGGCTCCCCGTATGTTTCAGGATCGATTTCAAAATACTTTTAACGGTTTTTAAGTGTCTTAATGATCTTGGGCCTTCTTATCTTTCAGAACTGCTTTTATCGCATGAACCCATGCAGTCTCTGCTCTCCCTTGGCAGCCATCTCCTTGTCATCCCTAAAGTTAGGACGCATATTCACGGCGAGGCGTCCTTCCAGTTCTATGGTCCTCACCTCTGGAACGAGCTGCAAAGGGACCTCAGGGCTCATGAGAACGTTCATGCTTTTAGAAACAGGCTAAAGACATCTTTTTAGCTTAGCTTTTAACTAAATACTCTCACTTTTGAAATTGAATAATTACTTAGTTTATTTATTTATTTGATCTATTTATTTTATTTATTTAATCTATTCTTTCTTTATATGTGCTTTTTAAATAGTTTTTTTTACCTTGATTTATGATCAACATTATTTTAATATCTATATAACTTTTTATATTACAATTCTCATTTTAGCTCTTTGGATTTTATATTTTAACCTTAATTTAACCTTTTTCCAGTGCTTCCTCTGTGGGAGCACTCTGCCCATGCGGTGGTGGTCGGCTGTGGCGGCCTGGGTGCTTTCCATGTTTGCCTGGGTGGTGGAGGGGGTCTCTGCCCTCCCCTCTCTGGGCGCCCGGTGTCAGTGCCTCGGCTGCTGCTGTGGATCTGTTGCTGTCGGGGTGGATGGCTTCCCTGATGGCATTTCCTTATCCTTATCTTAGCTGGTCTGGCTCATCTGATCTCAGCCAATCGTGTTTTTTTTTTTTTGCCATGGGGAAGGGGGCATGTATGTGTGTGTGTGTGTGTGTGTGTGTGTGTGTGTGTGTGTGTGTGTGTGTGTGTGTGTGTGTGTGTGTGTGTGCGTGTGTGCGTGTGTGCGTGTGTGTCGGTGGAGGAGTGTTGGGGTTTTTATTGTCAGACTGTTTTTAAAATTCTGGGGATGGGAGGGAATGTGGGTATGTGGGGTCTTCTCAATTTGTTAAGCACTTTGAGTTGCATCTAATGTAGGATTAAGTGCTATATAAATAAAGTTGATTGATTGATTGACTGATCCTGGAGCTGTTGAAGCTGTTGACGGGAGCGATTACCTTCCTGCTGTCTGTGAGACCGCTCCATGTGAATAACATGGTTCAGTTTGTCGATTTCCTGAAGGAAACCCTGATTTTCCGGAAAAGGTCCCTGCCTGGGATGAGATCTCCTTTGCTGAAACCTTTGCTGGTAATTAAAAGCTGCTCTGTAGTTTGCAGACATTGTACTAAAGTGATAAATTAAACTGGTAAAAGTTTAACTAAAGAAATGTAGGATGGACGCGTGTCAGACGACTGTCTTCCTGTAAGTCTCTCTGCTCAGTGTGTCAACGTTAGACTGAACAACACTGAGTGCAGAACCTAAACATATGGGATCAAAACCAAGTGAAATAAGGCACAAAGGGATTATGTCTATGATGTCATCTATGATGACTATTGTGATTATGATGACATCATAGTCACAATAGTCATGTATGATGACATCAGAGATGACTATGGTGACTATTGTGATTATGATGACATCATAGTCACAATAGTCATGTATGATGACATCAGAGATGACTAGTGTCAAGTCAGGCTTGGACTTTTTCAGACTAGGAACCATGTTCAGCAGAAGGGGTTCCACGGGGACAATAAAGGTGGTACACCTCTGAGCTGTAATTTCACCAGAGAGCATGGTGTTCTGAGTCAGCTGTTCAGTGACTTCAGAACTAAATACATCCACCAAAATCAGAGAGGCAGCCGGTAAGATCAATATATAATATATTGCTGGTTGTGTACGGACTTTGCTGCTGGTTAGGCGGTTGGGCGGGAAACCTGACCTGATTGTTTGTTTGTTTGCTTACCTAGGCGTGGCCCAAACAATTGAGTCTCTGTTGATTTGGCTGGTATAATCTTTGTTTGTGGTTATTTGCCAGTTAGTAAAAGAATTACTTATCTGAAAATGTTTCAGCAAGTTGTTTGTTGCAGTTGTTTGTTCATTTTTGGGTTCTGTGATTAGTTTCAATGGAAGATGAATTATAAAAGATAATGATAAGTAGCTTATATTTTTCTAAGGGAACTATTTGATGTTTAAAACTACTGTTTAAAAAGTAATGCTAAAGGTAATTATGTAAACCCTGTATATCTAATTTAAGGTTATATGTCTGCTTGATTGAAGGTTTTTCACCTGAGCTGACCTGAGCTGACATGCTGAAATAAACATAAAAGCAAAAAGTGAAGCATTGTTTCGGTCTCTGAGTGAAATCCAGTTTCTAAACTCTGTGGTGGATGTTTATCCCTCTCAAGTGGGGAAGCACAAAACAGTGCAGGACTTGACAACTAGGGTGACTATTGTGACTATGATGACATCATCGAAGCGGTGTGTGTGTGGTCTTCCGCAGTGTTCTAAACTCTACCCGTTTAGTTCTGTTTGCTTCAGTCATTAATGTTCTTGTTTATACGTCCTTTGCTGTTCTTCTTCTCCAACCGTTGTTCAGTTATCACAACGTTCAACTCATTCAGGACTTGTCAGCTGTGACTTTTGCTGTTGATGTCCACAGTTTATTTCTTGTTCCTTCTTCAGCCCAGATGAAGCACAAATGACACACGGCGGATTTGCTGCCCCCTAGCTAATTCTTTCAAGGTCCTAAAAATGGGATTTGATTAAGTAGGTTAATTAGACATGTTTATTTTAGGTTTACACTTAGTAGTACATTAGACTTTTGTTTAACCATTTTGATCAAGTTTTTGATTTCATAGAGTTAAATTTTATGTATAATTTTTAACTTGTTTTTACTAGAACCTTTATTTTTTGAGAGTACGGTAAAATTTGGTCGGACCACATCACATGCTCATGTTCTTAGGAAGGCTGTTATTGTTATTATTATTGTTATTATTATTGGTATTGTTATTGTTATTATTGTTGTTATTGTTATTATTATTGTTGTTATTGTTATTATTATTGTTGTTTTGTTATTGTTATTATTATTGGTATTGTTATTGTTATTATTGTTATTGTTATTATTATTGTAGTTATTTGCCGTCATCGTCGCTGTTGTTGATAATAATAGTAATAATCTGTCCTTCATAAACCTGCTTTTAGAGAGCTGCAGGGTTTTCACATTAAAACTGGCAGTGTGATTTTACAATAAAAGCCTTCAGTGTATTTTAACAATGAAAGCCTCCAATGTTTTTCACAATAAAAGGCCTCTGTGTTTACATAATAAAAGCCTGCCATATATATTGAAAGCAACATTCTGCAATTTTTTCACAATAAGAGCCCAAAGTGTGTGACCACTGCTCACCTCCAGGATGTGGTTTTTTTTTTTTAGATGAGTGTTAAGGCACATGCTGTTTGGCAGTCAGGTGTGTAACAGGAACAAGGCAGGACCTGACTAAGTGATGAGTGTTTCAAAGTGAGGCGGTTCCATCTGTGAGTAGTTAAGTGACGGTGGAGGCCGCTGGAGCTGTGCCTCGTGTTGGTGCTGAGGCTGTTCTTGGACCTGGCCAAGCTGTTTTAATTCATCTTGTCCTAGTTTCTGGCAGGCAGGACAGGTGTAAGGCACCGTGTAGCTGCTTGGGTCCATCCAGTACGCCTCGTCTGAGCCTGAGTCTGAGCTGGACTTGTGGCAAGGGCAACAACCACAGAAACTGAACATGGTATGACAGTGGAGGAACAAAAACAAAATAAGAAATGAAAAGACAAATGGGGACATTTCAACAAAAGCAAAATGAATGAATGCATGAAGATGAGCAATGATGTGATGGATGTTTTAGATAAGAATATTGTATGTCAGAGGACTCCAAAGCTCTTTATACTTCAATTAATCATTCTCCCATTCTCACCATGTAGCCACAGCTGCCCTGGGACACACTGACAGAGGTCAGAGGTCATTAAACCACCACAACAGGCAAGGGGATGCAGTGTCTTACCCACAGACACGACTGACACAGATGGAGTCTGAGTCCAGAACAGTTACTAGCTGATTACTGGGCAAGTTCACAACCCCTGAGACGGCCCTAGTTCTGTTTTCCCCCTCTAGGACCTTTGACCTCCAACAATGATGTCTGTCTGTTTTCCATCAATTATCTCCATCTCGACCTCCATCAATGAACTCCACCTGTTTTCCATCTATTATCTCTACTTACACCTCCATCAATAACCTCCACCTACACCTCCATCAATAACCTCCACCTACACGTCCATCAAGAAAATCATCTGTTTTCCATTTATGATCTCCATCATAGCCTCCATCAATTAACCCCATCAATGACCTCCACTTATACCTGCATCTATTACGTCCATCATAACTTCCTTCAGTGACCTCTATTAATAACCTCCATCTATAACTTCCATTATAACCTCCATCATTAACCTAAATCTTAACCTATATCTATAGCTCCATTAATGATCTCCATCAGTAGCCTCCATCTATGACCTCTATCAATGACCTCTGTCTATACCTCCATCAATGATTTCCATCTATACCTCCATCTACAACTTCCGTCTATAGTTGGACCTCCGTCATAACCTCATCTATGTCCTCCATCCAGAACCTCCATCACACCACTGGTTGTGGGTGAATGATGACACACTGATGAAACGAGGAACACAGGTTTAGGTGTTGGTACCTACCACGCTAAATACGTCATTGAGATGATGAAGACGAGCAGAACAAAGACTCCTGCAGCGACTCCATACACCCAGGTCTTCAGCGTCCCATCTGCACACACACACACACACACACACGCACACACACACACACACACGCACACACACACACACACACACACACACACACACACACACACACACACACACACACACACACACACACACACACACACACACACACACACACACACACACACACATTTATTTATTTATTTAACATACCATAAATCCTCTAATACAGGCCTGGGCCTGTATTTGACTCAAGCTCATCAAGCTCCAGGCCTTTATTGGAAGGAGGGCCAGAATTAGAGGCAGGCCTCTATTTCTATTTGAGCAAAAGGAACTAATGGTTCGCGGGAGTTTTTGACAATTAAAATTGAGCCCACATTTTCAAAGTTAAACACATTTCTTTTAACAACGGTAGTTCCTGCTTCAGCCATCTCCCCCCCTCCCCCTGGGCAGCGGCCACAAACTCACTGATGCGCCTGCAGCCTCTCGGAGTTCCTGCTGCTCTAAACATTAAAATAATTATTTCATTTTCTGTTCCTCACTTCTGATTACCTTCAATGGTGTCTGTTTGTTGCAACCACCAGGTACAAAACTAACTTGTTTTTATTTGACTATTTTTCTGTCCTGTCTGTTTATTATCTTCCTGCATCTCCTCTCAGTCCTAAAGAGAAACTGCTACCTGGGTTCATATATATTCACCTTATGAGTTACCTTTGAACTGCAGTTCTAAAAGATCTACCGACCGCAAAAACAGCGGAGTGCTCGCTGCTTGCCGGACGCATAAGTGATCGGTGCGTCACCGGATGACAAGTTGATGCGCCCCGCTCCACAGCAAAATGCATCAGGCACAAATAAAAGACAGAAAACATCAAAGGAAATGAACCGACATGAACGATCGCGTGTTAAATAATTTGGCAACACCTGATTGTTACTGTGGCCGTGCTCAGGAGGCAGATCTACCGACTGCAAAAACAGCGGAGTGCTCCGTGCTTGGCGGCTGCATCAGTGATCGGTGGGTCACCAGAGGACAAGGTGATGTGCCCCGCTCCACAGCATGCAGCGAAACACATCAGGCACAAATAAAAGACAGAAAACATTAAAGGAAATGAACCGACATGAACAATCACGTGTCAGTACCGACGCTCTGGCACAGCCTCCTCTTCGTCTCCGCATGGTTAAAGTTACCCTCGCGGTCTATCACTGGCAAATCAAAAGTGAGACGATGACACAACCGCCCCCCCGTACCACATTCCACCCGGCCACAATAAGAGACCGGCCTTTATTCACCTCCGCCGACTCCGACACCGGCCAAAATTGGAGACCCGGCCTTTAATTGAATACCGGCCTGTATTAGAGGATTTACGGTATTTTACAAAGAGGCAATTCAATATGCTTTAAAATAATATTTTAATTTCAGCAAGGAATGATAACAACTGTTTGCTACTTTACAAAGTGAGATAGGCTCCCCAGTGTTTAAAGATGATACAAACAGGAGATTTGTATCTAATGACTGCTCATGTTTTACAGATCCAAAAAAAAAAACAATAGTCGCAAAGAAAAGGTAAAGACCAAGAGACGATATTGGTGCTAACTCATAGCACCAAAAGTTGAATTTTTTTCCTGTCTTCCATTGTTTTACATGTTTTATGTCTTGCATAGCTTTTGATTTCTTCACCCCCAAATTGTGCAACTGTTACAATATTTGTCCCACTTTCCTGTGTGTGTACGGTGCATGTTCCCTACAAGCCATATAAAATATAGAAGAATAACTCGTGGAGAAAGAGCTTCATAGATCTTAACAACAGGAATCTCTCATTTACAAGGTGGGTCCAAATTAGAGAGAGTAGCGACCCTTTAACCTTTACACACTAATGATGCTCAATAATGTGAATGAATGTCATTTATTTATGGTTGCACCATTATTTATTATATCATTCTTTTTATTTTTCTTCAGTTCATCATTTCATGGTGACAGGGAGGACATGAAGGAGTTAATAATGAAACTAAAGTGTTGTCAGTGTTCTGGTTGGTCTCACTGGAGTCTGAATGTCTATGTTGTTATGGAGACATAATTGTTTGTGACAATGAAGCTGTGTAGCTGCTTCAGGGGGTTGCCATAGTGAAAACTAGGAAACACCATGAAGACAGTTTCAGATGACACTGAGTTGTTCTATCAACTGTCCCCGATGTCACTCCCTATCTCACTGAGACAACCAGAGGTTCAGATCCCATTCAGGGAATGTTAGTGACAACCACACTCCCATTTCAGAAGAATGGGAACCTGTCTGCTCTGAGACTGAAATGTGTTTTAATTCAGATGGAAGTCCTGCTGTCGGAGCATGTTACCTGGACCGAAGGGCTGCAGGAACCAGGTCCGTCCAGCCCTTCCCGGGGCGCTGGCTGCAGGCTGGATGGGGCTGAAGGCTCGGATGGTCTTCACATCAGCTTTGTTGTCACCAGCGGTTGGGATCTCCAGAACCGGAATGACAGTGCACTGATCCAACAGGCCGTCAGAGGTCATCACTTCTGTGTAGCCATCCTCACAGCCGCACACACCGGCCTGAGAAGGAAGGCAGACAGGATTCTCACCATCAGATAAAATGGGATGTTACGATCAACTGTGAATGTTCTCTGTACCGAGTCAGTCTCATCAGAATGAAACAAACCCACTGCATTGTTTAAAGCTTCAGGCTGGATGCTCTGGAGAGGAGGAGCCCTAACTGATCCCAGGGCTGTGACATCTGTACCAGAGGTTAAACTGGGTCGTAATACTGAGAAGGTGTTCCTCCCACTCACCTCTGTGCACAGAGACCATGGTTTGGTACAAGGTGGGTCACAGGACCGGTCGGCCACTGGCTTTGCTGCTTCCAGGCATCCACCTGTGGGTCAGAGGTCAAAGATAAAACTCTTGAGACTTCTCAGCAGCTGTTGCTGTACAACTGTGTAAGCTTCTCTGTGACTTCACACAGGTTTTGACTGATCCATTATGACCTTCCTGGTTCACTAAAGTGGAGAAATTGATGTATTTTAAATGTGTTTTTTTTCTCCTGGACTCATGGTAATAATTTTTTTGGGTCCAACAATGTGGATCTTTTTACTTCGTGGCTTATTTAGTGTCAGTTGGCATGTGTTAGCATTAGCCCATTGTTAGCAATAGCTACAGCAGGCTAACAACCTTAATGTGTTGTTGGATCTATCTGCTGCTTTCGATACGGTTGATCACGCTGTCCTGCTGACTCGGCTGAACCAGCTGGTCGGCATTCAGGGGACTGCCTTAGACTGGTTTCGGTCCTACTTCTGTGACTGCAGCTTTAATGTAATGATGGGTAGTGCTGCCTCCCCCTCTGCAGCTTTGACTCGTGGTGTTCCTCAGGGCTCTATACTTGGACCCCTTTTATTTAATTTACATATTTTGCCCCTGGGTGACATTTTTTAAAAACACCACATTGACTACCATTTATATGCAGACGATTGCCAATTATATGCCTCTGTGAAGCCTAATAACTCCTTACAGCCCCTTGTTGAATGCTGCAATGTGAAGAGCTGGCTGTCAGAAAACTTTCTTTTGCTGAACAATGCCAAGACAGAGGCTATCATTTTCAGCCCTTAGACTTCTCAATGTTGCCAACTGACCCTTCCTTTTATCACAAGTGGGATGAAAACCTGTGTCACAAACTTAGGGGTTGTGATGGCTGCTAAACTAAAAATGGACATTCATGTCAATCAGGTAGTTAAGACCTGTTTTTACCACCTGAGGCGTCTCTCTAAAGTTAAGCCAATTTTAAAAAGGTGTCATCTCCATTCAGTTGTCCATGCCTTCATTACTTCCCGTCTCGACTACTCTAACTCAGTGATATATGGTATCTCCTCCTCCACTCTCGCTCGCCTTCAGCTTGTGCAGAACGCAGCAGCTCGATACTTGACTGACACCAGGCAGCGAGAACACATCACACCGGTTTTAGCAAATCTCCATTGGCTCCCCATCCATCTCCAGATAGAGTTTAAGATCATGGTTTTTGTGTTTGAATCCCTCAATAACTTAGCACCTGGCTACTTGTCTGAGCTCATTCGCCCTTATGTCCCTACAAGATGCCTCCGACCAGCCGACCAGCACCTCCTACGTGTCCCTAGCTCCCGCTGTAAATCCCGCGGGGAGCGAGCCTTTTCAGTTTGTGCACCGAAGCTCTGGAACCACTTGCCCCTGCTGATCAGACTCTCTTCCTCTCTTTCCCTTTTAAAGTCTTGTTTAAAAACTCACTTTTATTCGTTGGCTTTTAATTGAGTCTAACTTGTTCTCTTTCTCTTTTTCGTTTCGATTTGAATAACTCGATTTTAATGGATTAAGTTTTTATTTTTGATTGTTTTTATTGTGTGTTTTTGTTCAGCACTTTGATCTGCTCTCATGCCGTGTTTAAATGTGCTATGCAAATAAACTTGGTATAGTATGGTTAATGACCCTGAAGATAATGACCTTTTTTGTTTATTAAGAGTCTTTTTTTTGTATTTTAATCATGTTAAAATTTTCATGTGATTGTATTTGAGAAGCACTTTGTGATAATATGAATAAACCTTACTTACTTACATAAACGCTATTTATCTAAACAGAGGCTGTTCAGTGCAAGATAGAAATGGGGATATGAGACTTTGGGCAGCCTTCCTAATCTTCCTAATTTTCCTGTATAAATTGTTGGTTATGATAAAAAAAATTTAAATATATCATATAGGAGACACACACAGTGATATTTGAGAAGTGAATCAAAGTTTATGGGCCAGAATGTGTGAAATAATTGTTTAAACAAAATTAGACAGGTGCATACATTTGGACACTTCCAAATCCTTTAGAACTAATTATTGGAACTCAAAATTGGTTTGGTAAGCTGAGTGACCTTTGAACTCCATATGCAGGTGAATCCAATTATGAGAAAGATTGTTTAAGGAGGCTAACTGTATATTCTCTGAAGAGCAACAACATGGGGTCACAAAACAACTCAGCTGTAAAAAAAAATATGGTCACCATCATGATTTAGCGGAAGGATCCAGAAAGCCGTCTCAGAGATTTCAGCTTTCTGTTTCCACAGTTAGGAACATATTGCGGAAATGGAAGACCACAGGCACAGTTCTAGTTAAGGCTCCAAGTGGTAGACCAGGACAATTCTTGGATGAACAGAAGTGAAGAATGTTGAGAACAGCCAGAGTCATCCCACAGAACAGCACCAAATACCTACATCATCTTGTTGCAGAAGATGGAGTCACTGTGCATCGTTCTATTTGGTGCACTTTACACAAGGAGATGCTGTGTAAGAGAGTGATGCAGAGGAAACCTTTTCTC